TCCAATCTATGTAGTGAGACCTTGTAGACCCTGTCCTAAATACAATAATAATAATAATAATAATAAAAATAAATAAAATTTTAAAAAATTTCCAGTGTATCATGCAGGGAAAGCCTAATTTAGAGTTTTTAAGCTTGCTAGCTTGGATGTAAGCTAGGAGACTATATAGAAAGTAAATTAAAGGGGGAGACAGATTACAAAAAAGCACAATAGAACTGAGGAAGGTAGGGTTAAAAATTTCTGTAGGGCCAGCCAGATAGTTCATCGGATTAAAGCCAGACATAGGGACTGGGGTTCGATCCCTGGTGTGCAGTGTTGGCCCTGCCTCTAGAGCACACTGAGATGTTGATTGAGACTGGGCATGGTGGCATGCACCTGTAATCCCAGTGGTTGGGAGGCTGAAAACATGAGTCTCATCTGTGTAGTGAGACCCTGTATACCTTGTACTAAATACATTTTTAAAAAATTGCTCTATATCATGTCTGCAAATAGTAGTTACACACTGATCCATTTAACTATATTCTAATAGGGCATACCTTTTTATGTTCTAATATTTTAAATAGGAAAAATAAAATGGTGTTGAATTCTGTTCCTCAGAAAACTAGTGTTTTCTACAAAGAAGAGAGAAAGATCTGAATATACTGTCTAAACAGAAAAACATCATTAACAACAGCAGTTGGTGATTTTCAAGAAGGCAAACAAAGATAACAAACAAGCTATATTTATATCACTTTTTCACACAAGCTAAGCTTTCTCCATTCCTTTGGCACTATTCACTTATTTAAGGTCATTTTCTTAACCACATCACTAATTTTCTCTTCCCTCTTATTTCATTTTTTTTTATACAAATGTTTACAAGCTATCAGATGACAGGGTCCCTGCACTAGGTCTCCAAAAGGTGTGCTTATCTGGTGACTAGGTCACGAAGACACATGGACCTACAAGGCGGACTAGGTCAGTCAGCAGGTTGGCATACACTAAGAACACAAGGTGCCAAGGTCAGAGAGAAGTCAGCACAACAGGTGAGAGAGCACTAGCTACTGCGGGAACACTGAAGAGTGGACTCAGAGCAGCAGCAAGATGATCACCAGCGAGGGGCTGGCTGGACTGCAAACCCTGGCCTGGCAGCACGACCCACTGAATCCTGTTCTCTGGCAGAGCCCAGGAATCTGCATGAACAAATACTTTCGGTGACAGCTATGGATGCTAAAGCTCGAGACCCAACAGCTAGTAGCAGGACTTCCCGCAAGGATCACCTGGGAATCTTACAAAAGTGCAGGTTCTGAAATGTGGCTCTAATGTTCAGGAAGGGTTAGAACCCAGGTTCAAAGTTACCTCCCTGATTCTTTTTTTTTTTTTTTTTTTTTTTCACTTATGTAATTGGTACAAGGTCTCATTATGCAGCTTGGAATTGTAGTTGCCCTCCTGTTTTCAGCCTCCCCAGCGCTGGGACTACAGGCATGTGCCACCATGCGCCACTACACCCAGGCTTGGTTCTGGGCTCAGCATGCCCTGGGGGGTGGGGCTGGTGCAGCATGCAGGATCAGGGATGGAACCCTAGTCCCTGCGCTTGCCAAAGCAGGTGCTTAGCCCACTGAGCTATCTCACTGGCCCTTTCCCCCTAATTTTAAGAGTGATCCTGAATGATTCCAAATCAATTAAGTCAGAAAGTAGGACCTAGGTATCGGAATGTTTTAGAAGTTCTCATAATTTCAATGTACATCTAGAATTTAGAAACCACAGACAGAAAAACTGTAATGTGTTTCCAGCTCTAAACTAGTGTATATAAAGTAAAAATCTTAAAACTATTGAACGTCTTGCCTTTTAAAATAAGACAGCCTGAATACTGATTAATTTTTTGAAAAGGTTGTGTGTAATTATGGCTAGTAACATAACATTTTAACATCTTTAAAAGCAACTAAGATTAGTTAAGGTCTTTACTATTGAAATACAGCTCTTAAAAAGGAAGAAATATAGTTTTTATCTTTAGTCATTACATCCCAATGCCAAAATAGATACAGTTATTGATTTATTCTTTATAAAGTTAATTAACTTTTCTTCTCTTTGGATTTTTTCCTTTTATAGTTTTTGTGCTTTTATTCTTTATTGTATGACAAAAATCTTACTTCTAATTCTATTGTTGTTACTTTTCATTTATTGGTTCAAGTTACAATTACTAAGCAACTGTATGTGCCAGGGACTATTCTAGGCACTAAGGATAAGCACTTAACAGAGAAAAAGATCTTCACATATAGTTGGAGGTAGAAGAAAATAAAAACAGGTAAATCACATGGTTAGAAATCCAATAAAGCAGGACAAAGGGAGTAGACAGGGGTGTGTGTGCCACTACACATCAGTGTGTTGCTAAGGATAGCCTCCTGACTGACAGGCAGGCAGCTGAAGGAAGCGTGGGGGCCCTGTGAGGACCTGGAGGAAGAGGGATGCAGCAGGCATGAAGGCCTGGGGCTTTTGCTTGGTGTGCTCAGAGAGCAGCAAACGGATCAGCATAGCCAGGTAGAGTAGGTTAGAGTGGGAGGAAACAAGGCCAAGACGATGACAGAGGCCTGTACAGCGTGGTAGAGATTTTGGGTTTCATTCTGAGTGGAAGAGAAAGCCAACAGAGAATCCTGAGCAGATGAGTGACACAGTCATGTATTTTAAAAGAATCATTTTGACTGCTCTAAAGAACTATTAGTTTTCTTGTTTTCCTAATTGGGCCAGTATATACATTATTATTAATAAAGTTGTTTTTTTTTAAATTTTTTTATTTATTTGAGAGAGAGAGAGAGACAGAGAGACAGAGAGAGAGAGAGAGAGTGTGGTGTGTGTGTGTGTGGCCAGCTCAGCCCACCAGGGGGCAAGGCTGGCTGGCATGTGGTGCTGGGGGATTGAACCGTGGTCCCTGATGCTTTGCCAAGCTTGTTCTAAGTAGGTGCTTTAGACCACTGAGCCATCTCTCCAGCCCCATATTAATAAAGTTTTTGATGAAACTAAATATTAGTGGATAAACTCCCAAGCACAGACATTGAACTGTACACTTAATAGAGATCAAAGCATTAGCTGTATACCCTACCTGGATCTCAGATATCTGTGGATTGCAAGATTTAGGTCTTAACGGTAAGAGAGTTGCCATTTGTGGAAAAGGGTCAATGTCTTTCCTTGGTTCCTCTTGACGGAAGTGCCAGAATTTCAGTTCGGCACTAACACTTTTTGCTGAGGATAAATGAGTAATACAAAATCTTGGTGCCCTGTTTATTAAAAGCAAATTATGGTTAAAATGTTAAGGTTAACAGCAAGTAAATCTCAAAATCAAAAGCCTACAAACTACATTACAGGTGTGCTCACAATTGTTTGAAACAATCTTGTTTCACTCCTCTAATCATTTTTATTTCTTTTTCTGCTTCCTAGACATTAGAAGTATTTTTCTATGGATGGCAGTGCCTGCAGACCCTTTTACTAAGACACAAAAGCAATCTACATTAGGAAAAAATCATAAAACCATGTTCAAATTATTATTTTCTTGGTAAGGAAAAGAAATAAAACATTATATATAGGGCTGGCCAAATAGCTCAGCAGATTAAAACACCTGTAAGCAGGCACAGGGACTGGGGTTCCATATCCTGGCCTGCCATGCCAGCCTCGTCCCTAGGGCACGCTGAGACTGCAATTGAGATTGGGTGTAATGGTGCGCGCCTGTAATCCCAGCTCTTGGGAGGCTGTAAACAGGCGGCTCACTACGAGTCCGATCTAGCAGTAAGACCCCTGAACACCTTGTAGACGCTTCCCTAAAATTAAAAAAAAAAAAAAATCTATAGACACAGACATGGATACATAGACAAAATTTTTAAAATAGCTTAATTTCTACTAAAATAAAGAAAATGTTCCCTGATCATTTTAAAGCAATTTAACATTTATCTATGTACCAAACATAAATTGTTAGAATTAAAATAATATTTTTAAATATATAGACATTTTATAATGTTCAAGTATACTACTGAAATAGGTTACGATTCCTATTATGTATTTCAAGTCTTATATTTGAAGGTAGGAATTAATTTTATAGTAATTTATATGAGTGAAAAGTTAACTTCCTTGCCAGACACTTAAGAGAAAGAATGTCTGGCACAATATCAAGGCCACACTTAATTGGATGTGGGTTAACTCTTCAGTTTACTGTACAAAAGGTCAACGCCAGCTGCCAAGGCCTTGCAGCTAATTGGTTCTTGGACCAAATCTTCCCTCTGGATTCCACAGCCCAACAAACAATTCCTACTACGAGGTCTAGTAGAAAACTGCTTCCCTCTAAAACAGGAAGAAGATACATATCTTCTGAATGTAACCATAGGTTGGGACAGGAAAAGAATCAAAAGTCTACAGTTAATTTAGGATCAGAAAACATCCTTCACAGTCTGAGTTGTCATTCTGGTCTATATTTCTGAGCTTCTACTTGCAGCCTTGTAAATATACAAAATTATTTCTTATTTTATGTCACCAGAAGTGGCTATATCTACAAGATTCATCAAATAAATCATGTATGTGATGACCAGGAAATCTAGATGCCTCAGTTATCTGATTCACATTATTTATATACATATAATTCCCTAAATCCATACTATTCTTACCATTTAAATTTTACACTCTTATTTCACACATATAGCATTAATATTTGATTATACAGTATTTAAATTCATCTATTATTGGCCAGCCAAATAGCTCAGTAGATTAAAGCACCTACAAGCAGGCACAGGGGCCAGGGTTCGATCCCTGGGTCTGCCATGCTGGCCTCGCCCCCAGGGAGCACTGAGACAACAGTTGAGACTGGGTGTAGTGGCACGCACCTGTAATCCCAGCTCTTGGGAGGCTGTAAACAAGTGGATTACTACAACTCCGATCTAATAGTGAGACCCTGAACACCCTGTAGACCCTTCCCTAAAAAAAATAAATAGATAAAAATAGATTCATCTATCATTATAGGCCATTTCACAGTGGCTCCATACTGTTTTTATTGGTAACATTACATAAGTTCTTATGTACACTGGTTGTACTTTTTTTTTTTTTGTGGTACCGGGGATTGAACCCTCAGGCCCTGCACTTGCTTGCAGGTGCTTTAGTTGTCTGAGCTTTTTGGCTGGCCCAATAACAAAATATTGATAACAACTCTAATGTCCTTCAATAGGTAAGAGGATACACAGTACATCCCTACAGTGGAATACTACTCAGGAATAAAAAGGAACAAACTGTTGATGCACACAACTGGGACAGATCTCTAGGAATTTATGCTGAATTTGAAAGCTAGTGCCAAAAAATTACATATTATATAATTTTTATTACTGGTTTCCAGGAGCTAAGGGGAGAGGGGAGAGAGAAAGAGAGGTATATAGTTATAAATAGGTAAGTTAAAGCATGACTGTGGTACCATAACTGTTCTGTATCCTGACTATGGGGGAACATGCACAAACCGTGATATAATGATAAAATCACTTGGAGGTAAACATAAATCTACACAAAAATGAGTGTTTATTACACTGGTAACATGTGGGAAAAGATGAGTAAATTTTAGCAGCGTCAATTTTTTCAATGTGATAGTGAACTACAATTATGTTAAGATGCTACCACTGGAGGAAACTGAAAGATACACAGTATCTCTTAGTACTGTTTTTTATAATTGCATATGAATCTACAATTATTTTAAAATACAATTTTTAATTAAGAAAGAAAGTTACTTCTGGCCAGGCATAGGGGTACATGCCCTTAATCCCAGCACTTGGGAAGCAGAGGCAGGAAGCTCAGTGTGAATTTGAGGCCAGCCTGGGCTACAGAGTGAGTTCAAGGACAGCCTCAACTACATAGTGAAACCTTGTCTCAAAAAAAAAAGTTACTTTATTCTTGGTAATATTTTATTAAGTTGGGTGATATGTACACAGCTACCCACTATAGTACAATTTCTACTTTTCTGTATGTCTTACATATCTAAGAATAGAATTTTAAAAGAAAGATTACAATAGCACACTATACATAGCAAATGAAATGTACATATAATCTGGAATATCTACATAAGAAATGATACCAGAGAAAAGGGCAAGGAACAAATCATAATGATTTTGTTTGCTAAATTAAAAGATCCAAACTTTAGCTGAAATTTTTGGCAACCAGTGAAATTGAAGGTAGAGAAATGATGGGATGAGATCTGACACAGTCACTACAGGCAACTCAGTGGCCCTTAAGTAGCACAGATCTTCTCCACTGTGTCCATCCTTGTTTTCCTTTCTTCAAGTCCCCTGTGAAATAAGACCTCTGGACCTGTACATTTGCCACCCTTTTATTACACTACTTTCACCTGGTGTGCCTCTTTGCACTATGATCTGTAGACTTGACTATTTGAACTTTTTATCCTTAGCACAATACTTGGCCTAAGGTAAGTGCTCAGAAAATGCCCATTAGAGCTGCATGTGATGGTGCATGCCTACAACTCCAGTACTCAGGAGGCTGTGGCAGGAGGGCTGCTGAGAGTGCAAGGCCAGCCTGAATTACATAATGAGACTTTAGTCTCAAAAAATAAGAGACAAAAAAAGTCCACTGCGATAAGTCTATACTTCTAGCTACACATACACACACAGTTACACAAGCATAAATTTTATGGGATATTGATCATAAAAAGGTAGAAGGATGTGCTCACAGATAAAAGGGAACTTAAGTACTGTCCAACCTATAGATTTAAAGTCACAGCAAATCCCCAATTATCTGAAAGATAAGTACTTCAAGGAAGGCCAAAGATATAATAATCTTATCATTTTAAACTTCAACAAGTTATATACCCATATGACAAAGGTATTACTTATAACTTGCCTTAAAAAAGTGAAAGTAAATAACTTTGGTTCATATTATTGTTCTTACCAGTATAGAAGTAAAGGTTTTATGACTTCAGATTGAATAATTTTTAAATGTTCTTCAGTCCACTGAGACCCATCTAACAAATTAAGTTTTGATAAGACTTCTGCAGAAAGGTAGCACTCTCCACTGCTCACTAGGTAGCATTTTTTCATCTTCTCAAGATGTCTGAAATAAAACACAACCTTTCAGAGAAGTAATAAACTATCTCAACACCACAACTGATTTATAGGAGCATTAAACATTTTTATGGAGATGAAAATATTTCCATAGTTATGGAAAAGTGTTTATAATAAGCTGAATGCCCTTGCAAAGCTGTCTAAACCTTAATTTCCAGAATTTGTAAATTTATTACCTTACAAATAGACTATGAATGGGATTAAGACCATAAGGAGATTATGCTGAGTGATCTGAGTGGTCTCAATGATATCACAAGAATCCTTCCAAGAGGGAGGCAGGAGGATCAGAATCACAAAGACATGAATGTCAGAGAGAAGACAAAATATTATGCTGCTAGCTTTGAAGGAGGAGGAAAAAGCCACAAGCCAATGAATGTAGGTGACCTTCCAAGATTAGAAAAAGAAAAAGAACTCTCCTCCCAGAGCCTTCTGACCTCCAGAAATGTAATAGAATAAACTTGGTCGCTTTAGGCCATTAAGTATGTAGCAATCCACTACAGCATTTTTCTGATGCCTTCAGTGCCCTTTAATACATATTAATAATATATAGAGTCCACTAAAAAAGTATACATCAAGAAAAAATGTATATTTCAACAGTAAATTTATATAGATATCATGAGATTAATACAAGTTACCTTTGGTTTCTAAATTATAAGAGGTACTCAAAGTGGTGGCCATTAGCTTCTTGACATTTATTAGTATGGTGAACTGCACATTTATTAGTAAGTGTGCATATATTTGTTTGGTTGACTCTCATTCTCTCTATATATATTTTTCTTCTTTTGTTTTTTGAGACAAGGCCTTGCTATGTGTTTTAGGCTGGCCTTGAGCTCACTATGTAGCTGAGGTTGGCCTCAAACTCACAGCAATCCTTCTGCCTCAGCCTCTTGAATGCTAGGATTACAAGTGTGCCAATGCCTGACTAGCTTCTTTTAATATTGCCTAAAATATTATCTATAGGGCTATATCCTGAAAAATCTATGTAGCTTACTTGCATACATCTTCCCTGATGTCTTTAAAAGTAGTAGTGATCTTTCACCCATGATCAATCAAGTCATACTTTATAACTGTTTAATGACCCCTGTTCTTAAAGCTCTGTAACCTTAATGCCACTAAAATAACAAATATTCCAATCACTAGTATGCACTTGATGAGCTCTGTGATTTGGATGCTATAAAATAACTGGGATAACTCAATCACTACTATATACTAATATTCATACTAATATGAAACCACTAATACAAATTGCAATCTACTGCACTGTATCACAAGTGCAAATGAGATCAGAACTTTCTTAATGAAGTTTCCTCTTGAAAGTCTTAGACTTAAAATAATCTTAAACATATGGAGCTGGCCCGATGAAGACCTGAGTCCTATTAGATCTCCAGGAGGCTCTTTGACAGACTCATTCAGATATCCAGCTATATGGAATCCTACCAAAGATGGAATCTGTTAATCAATCAGGTTGCCAGGAACACAGGTCTTATCTTATGGGAGTGTGGTCATATAAATGATAATTTTTTGATAAAAATTCTGTATCATTGGAATATTATAAAAATTTAAGTAATTTTAGATAAATTCTAGAACCTATGGGAAAAAACATTATGCAAACTTAAATTATTTCTGTTAGTAGTACCTGAAAGCTAGGAAATCAGAAAACTTACGAAGTCAAAATTTAATATAAGATAAATGCTACCATTAATGATATTTCCAAAAGGATAAATAACATTTTCATATTTAGTGCAGATTTTGTGCCCATGCTTAAAACCCAAACAAATATTCTATAATTCTTTTAAAACTATTTAAAATGGAAGTAGAAATACCTTTGATGTCTTCCAGGGTCTTTAAGAACTTTTAACCTCTCTATATCCATCCACAACCACCAGTATCTCTCTCCTAAAGTGCCCTTCATAAAATTCTTAAAATTTTCAAACTCTTTCCTATTGCTAATGTTGTAAGTTTGGTGAGAAATATTCCAATCAGCCATGCCCTCAGGTCCAAAGCTGTCCCTCTTTAAATTTAAATTGTGTTTTCCTAATGCTTCCTCTGACTTTCCCATTATGGTCTGAACTGGTTCAAGGAGAAATTCAAAAGGATCATCAACCACCACTTGTCCTACATTGCTGAAGTTTATGAAGTCTGGGCTTTCACTAAGTGGCTCTCCAATAATTTTCTGAATGGCTGCTTTCAGAATAAAGAATATATAAGAATTTAAAAACTCTTCAAATGTTGAAAAATGCAATGTCAAGCTTCTGTCAGACATATCACGTTGCTTTTCCAGGTATATTCTCAGAAGAGCTCGCGAGGGAGTGTCTTTTACAGATATAGACCCTTCCTCATCTTCTTCCAATTCAGAAGTTAATTTAGTGGTTTTAGATGAGCTTCTTTTTGTCCTCGGGTGAACTCCATCATCAAAGATAAAATTCTCTGCATTAAGTTATAAAAGGGCATTAGGTTAGATGTGAATACAAACATTTTTATTATTAACAGATGCTATAGAGCCAGCATGACAAACTAGCTTACTACAAGGAGTGGCCAGAAGGACCAGTGCCTTCAGAAGGATTCTAAAGCCACATTTGGAACCAGTAAGGAAAAACCTGCCAACAGGGATAATCTTAACTTTCCTGAATGTGACAGAAGGACTAAGCATTTGACATCTCTATGATACAGGATATTTTAAAAGGCTTCATATTCTTTTAAAATGCAATATTTTAGACTGAGTAGAATGATAAAAGAAAATTAGCCAATATATGATGAGACCATAGACAAATAGACTAGAACTAGAGTTAATATCAACAGTTTTTAAAAATTTGCTTTTATAAGAAAGATTAAAATATTGTCTGTCATACAGTCTCTGACTGAAGTTAGAAATCAGCATTCTTCTCCTGAATCACATTTAGATCTGTGGAGGTTTCCAGTGGATTATTTTAACCTTTTCCAAAGACAGGGCATTTTGCCCCTACTTTCTCTTTAGAAATTGGGGAAATATCAGACACCAGCACTGTATTTCATACAGTAAGTCTATCTCAAAAATGCCATGGAAAATGCTACAGGTATTCTGCCTGTGTCCTATTCCCCATGTCCACTTTCTCACTTGATTTCAAATCTCAATGCACTGGCAAGATTTTGTTATATATTTATTGAAAATATATATGCCAACTCCTCAATACAAGTGATGATTACACACTGTAAAGCTGTGAAGGGGTACTGGGCAATTCTAACTCCCACAGAATTGAAGGAAGGGTGTGGTAGAGATCAGCACAGGCATTTCTGCTCACCACTGTCCTATCATTTCTCTTCCTTTTTCCATTGTTTACTCTTTAGTTTTCTACTTTAATATTTTGAGGAAGGCAGCAGGAAGCTTATAAATACAGCTGTCTTCAACTAGGGAGATTATGTTCCTCTTTACTTAGACTTAAGTTTAATTCTAGAGAATCCAGATTTATCTTCCTCAGTGTTGAATATACTTTTCAGAAGGATTAAAGTTAAGAACTCTTAGTAAATTCAAGAACTCTTAGTAAATCCTAAGGTTCTTCTCCTGAATCACATTTAGTTTTTTTTCCCTTCTAACAATATCACAATGACTTTTATTTCGGACAGGTTCCTTTTACTTTTTATGAGAAGGTAATGTCACCACAAAAGCTCCATGCAGTAGTAACATATCTGCTTTTCCACCTAAAAAATAATCTGAACTTCAAAACAGAAGGGAAATTCAGCTTTCATCAGTGATTATTTACTTTCAGGAAGAACAAACATTACACTCACTTTATTACTTAATAAACAGTCTTTTTAAAATCTTTTTAAAAATATATATTTAGTACAGGGTCTACAGAGTCTCACTATATAGATTGGACTCTTAGTGATTCTCCTGTTATCAGCCTCCCAAGCACTGGCATTATAGGCATACGCCACCACGCCCAGTCTCAACTGCCATCTCAGGTGCCCCGGGGTCAGGCCCAGCACAGCATGCTGGAGATGGAACCCCAGTTGCTGTGCTCTGCCTAAGCAGGCACTTTAGTCTGCTGAGCTGTTTGGCTAGCCCTTAATAAACAGTCTTAAAAGTAAGAATTCGAAACTAGGAAATAGATAAGACAAGCATATATTTACTGCACATTAGTGACCAGCCACTAGGCCAACTGTTTCCTACACATTTAGTGTGTATCATTAGTCTAATCTTACAGATGAGAAAGCAAGTCATGCTAGATGGAGGTAATAGTACACTCCTGCAGTCCCAGCTTTCTGGGGGGTGGGTGAATGAGGCAAGAAGATTACAAGTGTGAGCCCAGCCTGGGCAATTTAGAGAGACCCTGACTCAAAATACAAAACAAAACAAAACAAAAATAAAAGGCTAGGATTGAAGCTCAATGAGAAGGCTGAGGGTTCAACTCCCAATGCTCCTAGGTATCAGTGCTGGGTTCTAAACTCACTCTCCTTTCACAGAACAAATTTGTCTCTCAAAAAAACAGTAGGAAATTCAGGCAGGAGCCAGGTAAGTGTTTTTTTTCTTCCCCAACCCACTGAATGCTATCCTGTAACATAAAAGCACAGATTTAAAGAAGTTACTCTTATTCTTTTCTGCTTACCAGAATCAGATGAAATAACTGGTGATTCAATTTTACTGTGGGGTATACAACAGGGTAATGAAAAGGTGGATATCATTTCCTGATTTTGTTTTGCTAGTGAAAACCAATCTTTTGTTTGAGTGTAGGAGGCCTAGGAAGAAAGGGATATATTAGTTTAAAATAAGATTAACAGTGTTCCTCTGATCACAAACCTGAAGGAATCATTATGATAGTATTTAATTTATGTAGTATAATATATAAAGGAAAAATTATTTTATGGAAAAAGAAAACCATATTAGAATTCATTATCTAAGAAAATAATGGAAATAATATTCTATGTTTTTCCTCCTGTTCCTCTTTCTACTTCTTTCATTTCCTACCCAACATGACAGACTCTACTGTCAGAATTCTGTACATCTTTCCAATCTTGACTGTTCCTTTGTCTTAGACTCAGCTTTCACAACTTTGCTGAATTGGATGCTTCCTACAAATTCCTGACTCTACCTGCTCACAGATGCAGCCTTCAATTTTTCCTTTGCTTTGTGTACCTCTGAGCAGCTAACCCAATTTCCAACCTGGAAACTTCTGGAACTCTAGCCCTAAGAGGCTCCTAACCCACCTATCCTAGGAAAGTACTCTGTCTGTCTCAATAATGCCTCTGTTTTTCCCAGAGAATCCAAGTTGCTTAACAAGAAAAGAAAGGGAGTACAACATTCTCATTTCTTCTTTCTCCAACTGTCAGGTGACTGGCACTCAGTTCAACACTCGAAGAAGGGGCAAGGCTCAAATGGAAAATATTCCCTGTCTATTACAGAGAATTAGCAGGCATGTCAGGTACACAATGAGATCAAAGCAAAAGAAAGAAAGCAGAGATGTCTTCTGTGCAGCCACTGTCCCTTTTAGAGGTAAGGTTCCCTGTGTACACAGGAGCTTTGGAAGGCTCTAATTCACTTTTTAAAATTTTATTTTTATTTACTTATGTGTGTGTGTGTGTGTGTGTGTGTGTGGCCAGCTCAGCCCACCAGGGGGCGGGGCTGGCTGGCATGTGGTGCCGGGGGATTGAACCGCAGTCCCTGTGCTTTGGCTAAGCTTGTTCTAAATAGGTGCTTTAGACCACTGAGCCATCTCACCAGCCCTCTAATTCACTTTTGTTTCCATTTTCCTTTACTTACTAAGCCACGACTCTTCCAAGCAGTATCCTCAGTACTGAGAAGAGACCAAAATAAATTAAGGAATACTCAAGAAATTTAGTTAGACCAATATACAAGTATCAAGTGATCAAAAAGGATGATGGGGTAAAGAGCGAGAAAGAATAAAGTTGTCAGTCATTTACCAGTGAATTATTCCAACTATGCTTTTAAGATATAGGCCAATTTAGATGGTGTAACTGAGGACTCAAAGAAGTATTACCAATTATAATAAAGGTTAATTTCTATCTATAGTTGTAGTTTAATTATTAAAAAGGCCCAAAGAATAAAGGCTATGAAAATGATAATAATATATAAAGTATTAATCAAGTGAACAGAAATTAACTTTTTCATCTCAGAAAAACTAGCTTGGATTCTTTATTCCCTATATTTGCTTAAATTCACATATAAGAAGCCAGAGCTTATTTTCCTGGATAGATCTTCACTTTGCATGACTTTTTTGCTTTGTTGTATTTTTGTCTTTTTGAAACATGGTCTCACTATGAAGTTTAGGCTGGCCTTAAGCTTACTTTGTGGCCCATGCTGGTCTCAGATCTTGCAAAGATTCCCCCCTGCCTCAGTCTCTTGAGTGCTGAGATTATACATATGTGCCACCACATCCAGCTCATTTTACATGTTTATTGACCTCACCTGTCAGTACACATTTTATAACATTTCTGACATTTCTAAAATATGTAAAGAGAAAAAGAGCAAGAGAGAAGAAAAATGTGTCTTGAGTATATCACCAGTCACTTTTCAACAAAATAATTAAACATAACTTTACATTTTGGCAAATATTACTGATAGAAATACTAAACTACAATATTTAGTAGGAACACAAGTGATGGTTGACGAATTGTATCAACTTGAGGAAGGGAAGCATCACCAAATTGGCTCAGCAATTCCAACCCTAGGCTATGGAAGGCCCACTCTAGGTGACTTGTCACCTGGAAGGTATAATGGGGACAGGAAGGAGGACAGATAGGCTTCTGTTTCTTCTGAGGAGCTCCAGTCTTTGCCTTCACCTTGGTCATCACAGCCTGGCTTCCAGGGCAGGTTCACCAGCTTCCTGACAGGGACTCCCATGGGACACTGCATTGAGCTCCAGACCTTCATGTGAATCCTTTGGGCTCCAGGGTCCAGACAGATCCTCTGCACACTTCCACATCTGACTCTGTGGGTGGCCACTGTAAGCCAATCTTGGAAATTCTTTTATTTCTGTGTATCTTTTTTTTTTTTTTTGCGGAACCGGTGATTGAACTCAGGCCCTTGTGCTTGCCAGAGATATTTCTGTATATTTTGTTATTTGTTTCTCTAGTAAACACTGACTGATACAAACACACATGAAGAAAGGTTCAATTAACTAAATCTACCCATTCCAACACAGATCAATAGCTTTCCTCTTGTATGATATCTTTGGTAGTGCCTATCTAAAACAGTGTCAAAGAGAATCTGAAGTTAAGTCCTAGTTCAGTAGAAAAATCCTAACAGTTGGTTAGCAATGAATGTGATGACGACAGTCAGAGAGCAGCAGCCAAGGGTCACACATTTACCATCCCTGATTTTGTACAGAATTATGTATCAAAAGTGTTAACAGAAATAAGAACTGATAGAGACCAAAAATCAAACAACACTTTTCACCAAGTCTTGATGATCTAAAAAGGCGTTCTATTCTAGGCTTTATCTCTTTGAATATACTCATACAGCCATACATTTCCATAGTCATGGAGGACAGATTTCTCTGGCAGCAGTTAAATAGTAATACATTTTACTACAAGGAATTACCTAGACAGGTGAAGACAGTTTGTCATCTTTTGTATAAAAATAATTGAATTCAAATAATAACAATTTTTAAATGAATAACCAAACCATGAATATAACACAAGTTGCCCTTGCTTCCTAGGTGATATTGAGCATGTTCTTCAATCTTGCTTTTGTAACTTCAGACACATGACATAACATGACATAATATTTCTGATTGAATTTAAGGCTAGAGTGCAGAGCAAATGAGTCAGCATAAATCTAAGAGTTATTGCTAAACATATTTTAGAAGTGTTTTGAATCATTTTCACTGTGCAAGTGTTATAAATGAAGTATCTCTGAAATAAAAAGTTTCATAAAACAATATGCACATTTTTACCTGTCCAAGAGAAACGTAGAACTTTTTCATAATGATAAGATTGTCTTCTTCAACAGTGGGAGGTGGTGGACTGGGTGGTTTCCTCAGAATCCATGGAGAAAAATTTGTACCAATTGTGAAACTCACACCTGACTTGCTCCATTTTACTTGCGAGACCAATTTGGCCAACCTACATTGTACAAATCATAAAATCTGACTAAGTTTCAAATATAGTAAAACTCAGAAAAAAGCCTAAAATTTTGAGTATTTATCAAGGTGATCTCTCCTCCTACCTCTTAGGATGATGATTCTCTTAGATTCTGCTGAAATTAATGATTTATTCATTAGAGCGGTTCACTCATGGGGCAATTCTGTAATTAATAATTTTTATAATTTCTATTTCAGTTGATTTTTATTTTAAAATGATTTCTATAAGCAAAGGTCAACTTTTAGTATAGTTTCAGAATGTTTGGGTATTTGACACTTTATTTTTGGATATAAGATCTCACTATGCAGTTTGGACTCATAGTGATCCTCTTGTCTCAGCCTCCCTAGTGCTGGGATTACAGGCATGTACAATGACGCCCAGTTCCAGGGCTAGCATGGCACACTCTACTGAGGATCAAGTGCTTATGCCACTGAGCTATCTCCCCAGCCCCCACATGACATTTTAAAAGAGGAAATAAAGGAAAAGCTTAGCTTTGTACAGATATTCTTTATAATGTATTAATATTTATCCATGAACTGTACAAAAATATCATTATCATCAATAGTCTAGTTTAAAAAGTACAACAATGAAAGAGATACAATTGAAGTACACTTATTAGGTACTACTTCTGTGAAATCATTTTGGAAAGTGAAGTTATTTTTTTTGGCAATGGTCTACCACTTTTTATTATATAGCAAATAGAACCCAAACTCCAGTGGGCTGATATGCTAAGAAATCAAAGAAAAATGAGTTTAGGTGATAAATGACCATTTAAAATATATATACTGATGGAACTCCAATACCTGTATTCAAAATAGCAATCACTCTCCAGAAATGCAGGAAGTCTTTCTTTTTTGATCCATTTAATCCCTTGTTCACGATTGAGACACTATTGGGAGAAAATTATTTTTAAAAAGAATGTTAAATTAAATATCATATGTGGTCTTTGTGACTGTCTTCTTTCATTTAGCCTAATGCTTTCAAGGTATATCCCTGCTGTAGCTTGTATAAATACTGTAGTTGATTTTTTATTGCTGTATAATATCCCATAGTATAGTTACACTACATTTTGTTTGTCTACTCATCAGGTAACATTGGCTATTACAAAAGATCCTATTATAAGTAAAAGTTTGCATCTATGTTTGTATTGCTGTATATTTTAATGTTCTTGAGTATTTATGTAAAAATGGAATTTCTCAGCCATATAATAACCCTGGCTAATCTTTTTACAAAGTAGCTGAAGTAGCTTGGAATTAAATCATATATATTTAAGACTTCTAATTTTTTTAATAACCGAACACTTGTTATCTTATTTATTATAGTCACTGTGGCAGATATGAAGTGGTATTTCTTATTGATTTTAATTGTATTTCTGTTATCACTAAAGATCACTGAGCATCTTTTCACATAGTGGTTGGACATTTGCATTTATTTAGTTAAAGAACTGTCTATTCAAGTCTTACTTATATTTTTAAATTGATTTTCATTTTATTGAGTTTTGGGCTGGGGAGATAGCTCAGTAGAATAAGCACCTGCCTGGCAAGTACAGGATTCTGAGTTCAATCCCCGGTACCACACACACACACACACACACACACACACACACACACACAAACACATTTTATTGAGGGCTTTTTTTGTTTGTTTGTTTGTTTTGTGGAACCAAGGATTGAACTCAGGCCCTTGCGCTTGCCAGGGAAGCACTTATTCTACTGAGCCATCTCCCCAGCCCCTTATTAAGTTTTAAGAGTTCATTATAGAACCTAGATACAAGTCCTTATCAGATACATGATTTATAAGCAGTTTCTCTAATTCTGTGGATTGTATTTTTACATTTTTGACAGTATCCTTAGGAGTGTAAAAAATTTAGTATTTATGAAGTCTAATTTATCATTTTTTTCTTTTGTTGCCTGTGCTTTTAATGTCAGATTTTTCTTAAAAAATTCAATGCTTCATACAAAGTGAGGAAAATACAAGTCTATGTTCTAAAATATGATAATCTTTTTCTAGTTTTTCTTGCATTACTTCAATCTAACTACATTTTTTGAAGATGTTTATATCTATGTTCATGAGGAATAGTTGTAGTTTTTTACTTTTCTTTGAACTTCCTTTATCTAGGGTTGGCATCAGCATAATTCTAGCTTTGTAAGTTGAGAGTTAATTCCTCTACTTTGATGTTTGGAAAAGTTTTCACATACTTGGCATTACTTCATCTATAAATTTTTGATAGAATTCACTAGTGATGCCATTTGCACCTACTGCTTGCTTTGCGGTAAGACTTTTAACTACAGGCTAATACCTTTAATGCAAAGCTATGTATCCTTTTGCATGAGCATTCAAGAAACACATTCCTGTCATTCAAGGAATATGCCTGTCTCAGTTACTCTTCTCTCATTGCTGGGACAAATACCCAACATGCAAAATGAAGGAAGGAAAGGTTTATTTAGCTCACACTTACCGAAGGTTTCAGTCCATACCCAGCAGGCTTCAAGCCAGACTGGCATGGCAGAGAGCAGCCTTTCATGGCAGTGGCAAAGAGAAAGAGAGCAAAGGGAGTGATAGCAACAATGGCTACAGAGAAGTCTGTCTCCCTTAAGTGGCATTCAGGCTATATGCCCCAGGCTGAGTGTAGCATTCATACCCATAATCCCAGCAGTACTAAAACTCATAATCCCAGCCTTGATCATGAATTAATCTCAAACTCTAGAAGTCCCCACCCCATGACTACATGAGGCTTTGGGGGGACAACTAGATAAAAATGTTCATTTGAATTACTGAGTTTAATCACATAACAGTTGTAAAATTCCCTCATTTTTATATTGAACATCAGTAGAAACTGTAATGATATCCACTCTGTCATTTCTAGTATTAGTCATTTTTATCTTGTCCTTTTTTTTTATTTTTTGTTTTCTTCATCAGGCTGAGTAAAAGTTTATCAGTAGAGAGTTTATCTGCTCTCTAGAATATATAAAGAACTAAAGAACATTAGGGCCCCTAAATTTAAAGACCCAATCCAGAAATGGGCATCCGAGATGAACACACATTTCTCAGAGAACAAAATTAAAGAAGTGAATAAATATATGAAAAAATGCATCACTAGCCGTCTGTGAAATGCAAATTAAAACAACACTGAGATATCATCTCATCCCAGAAAGATTGGCTAACATAAAGAAATCAACCAACAACAAATGTTGGAGAGGCTGTGGGGAAAGGGGAACCCTTCTCCACTGTTGGTGGGAGTGTAGACTGGTGCAACCATAATGGAAATCAGTGTGGAGACTCCTTAGAAAACTAGGACTGGAAATTCCATTCAAACCTGCTATCCCCCTACTGGGAATTTTCCCGTAGGAACTGAAAATGTCATATCATAATGATATATGTGTACCTATGTTTATAGCAGCACAATTTGTGATAGCCAGATCTTGGAAACAACCAAAATGCCCATCACATGTGGAATGGTTGAAAAAGATGTGGTACTTTTATATAATGGAGTACTACTCAGCTATAAAGAATGATAAACTTGAAGCCTTCATATTTAAGTGGATGCCCCTTGAAGATATACTTTTTAGTGAAAGAAACCAGACCCACTACTGTAAATATCATATTATCTCCCTAATATAAGGACTTACAATTCCATATATGACTAGGTTTTCTAAATTTCTTTGTAAAAATATGTAAATGCTTATTTCTACTTTTATATAATTATTTTTCCTTCATATTCTGTAAAGACTTAAAGTCCAACATATCAATATCTGATGGAAAATACCTGTTCCAGGATATGCCAAAATGTTTGATATTTCTACAGATAGGATAAACCATACTGCATATATTGCAGGTTAATAATTAGCTTCTCTTCTGGAGGGTTAACAACCTAAGTTAGCAGATCAAAATTTGGAGAAAAGGAAGGGCTGCATGGTCAGCCAACATTTTGGCCCTAGCCTTTCAAGGTCAGTAAAGACTCGGGACATAGGAGAACCTGTACTGTAACAACATGTAACTCAGTTGTGCTCCAAACTTTCTGATCAAGAAGACTATGGAGCCACAGAAAAATGTGTTCGATGATGTAAAGTGAGCCTGGGGAGAGTCACATGGAGAGAAAAAACATTTTCTCAAGCTTTCAAAGAGAGCAAATTGGTCAAGCAATGGCCGTGACTCATCCTCAGGTCAGACACTGACAAAAGAATGTACAAAAGGTGGTACAGGGCTGCAGGATAAATCCTGAGAGTACTTGGCTGACCTTATCAGATACAAAAGTTACATTTCTGGGTATATAGGTCTTGCTATATCTTGGTCTTTAGCCATCCAATAGAAAAGTATAAAAATGAGGTATATAAAGTAAATCCATATTAATAGGATAAGCTGTAAAAGGCTCAAGTCAATTACTTCTGAGGATAACCCACTAATATTATAGACTGCTAGGCAGTATTAGATGTTTATTTGAATTCACTTATAGCATTTAGATGCCAATAGAATATTCACCTCTGACAGGACAAAAAATAAACAAATAAATAAAAATTTTTAAAAAAGAAAAAAAATGGAAATAGAAGCAATCAATGCTCTAATTAGCTTCGTCTCCTTTTTTTCAATTGTTTATACTTTTTCTTTTCTTAATTTCTTATACATTGCTCCAGTTTTTTCTTCTTCCAATATCTGGTAATATGAATAGCTGGTTGTAAGACAATACCATGTATTACAACAAATACTGTGAAATTCACATTACTTTATTAAGTAAAATTCTGTATGAGTTGTAAAAAAAAATTTTTAAAATGTTATATATAAAAGATAAACACACAGCTAGCATGTATTCATAATAAACATAGTATGTATTTATATTCTATATTATCTATATAGTGTATATATTATTATTTTTTGTTTTTTTGAGATGGAATCTTGCTATGTTGTCCAGGCTAGTCCCAAACACCTAAGCTCAAATGATCCTCCTGCTTCAGCTCTCATGTAGCTGGGACTTATATAGTATATTCTTACATTTTTAATTAAAAATCTTAACTAGTATGTTTCAGTCTTGACAAAATACATCTTTTGGATTTAAATTTAAAAAAAATTTTTTTAAAGTTTATCAGTTTCACTGATCAATAAGCTTTTATTTTTATTTGCTTTTTCAATTTCACTGATTATGTTCTTTTTTTTTTTTTTTTTTTTTTGGTGGAACCAGGGATTGAACTCAGGCCCTTATGCTTGCCAGGGAAATGCTTATTTTACTGAGCCATCTCCCCAGCCCCCATGTTCTTCTTTAATTTGGGTTTTAATTTAACTTTATTTTTCTAGTTTCCTATGGTGGAAGGTAGGTCACTGGTTGAGACAATTAGTCTTTTCTTTCCATTGTTTAAAGAGAATACAAAATAGTTTTTTTTTAAAAAAAAAAAACATTAGAAACAATGCAGAATTTCACTAAACAAAGTAATAGGAATTCAGTGGCTGAGGAAATGGCTCAATGGAATAAGCACTTCCCTGGCAAGCGCAAGGACTGGAGTTCAATCCCTGGTTCTGCCAATAAATAAATAAATAAATAAATAAATAAATAAATGGAATTCAACAATAGTTGTCATGTTGTATATAGCGTTGTATCTAAATCACTTGTTTAGATTTCCAGATATAAGGATGCAAAATTGGTAAAAAGGAAAAAAAGTCATAAGAAATTAAAAAGGAGAAGAAAAAGGAAATTTAAACATTAACTTCTCTTTTCACTAGATCAGCAGAAATCAGCAGTATAATTATCCAAGCCATCCTGCATACATCCATAAATATAAATACATCTTTCCTCCTCCTTCCTCCCTCTCCTGTCCTTTTCTCATTCCAGTTTTTCTTGACCTTTGAACAGATTCTTTCTCTGCCACAGTATCTATTGTACCTCTCAGATTTTACTTACTC